CAAGAGGTCATAATATATGGAAACAAATTAAAAGAAAAACTATGGCATTTCAATTCAGTTTAACAACATCTACCATTCAAATATTGGCCTGGCAGTATCCTTCAAGAGTGGATAGAAAATGAGGAAAGCTCACAACTACAATTCACCTTCATTTAGTATATAACATCAACATTAAGAGTATGAAATTCATTATTGGGCCATAGGTTGTACCGTGACTGTAACTCCAGCTACTTGGGTAAACGTGGGAGGATTACAAGTTTAACCCCAACCTGGATAATGTTAGCAAGACTTTATATCAAAATACAAATCAAAGGGCAGGAGGTATACCTCAAGGTGTACCACTGCACTAGCAAGTGAAGCCCTGGGTTCAACCACAGAACAATTTTTTTTTTTAAATCAGCATTTACTTGGAATCAGTTAAGAAAAAAATTATCTGGTATATAAAGGCACAACTATAAATGTCAATTTTTTCAAACCCTATTTTCTACAGACAAGCTTAAAGAAGTCAACAACAATCATATTAGCACACGCCTAGTTTTCAGAATTTTCAAAGCACTTTTTCACCTATTATTTCCTTGGGTAAAGGCAACTAAGATAGCTTCCTATAAAACTGAAATGCAAAAGGTGTGCTAAGTGGGAGGTAATGTTAATATTAGAAGCAGATGAATTTGCTCAACCAGTCAAAATATTTAACTCATTTATTTGAAACAAAATAGTTTGGATTCTGTACCTCTGTAAGTCTTTCCAGGCAGAAGGATTTGAATAATTTCCATGTGCTTGCATCAGCAGCTCACAAGAAAGGAAATAAAATTTCAACCTTACTACATTTTTTTTTTTACTATGTCTACAAATACAACTTTCCACATAATTCCCACAGGCAGACACCCCACCCTGACTGGCTCTGCATTAGTTCACCAAAACCAGGGAGCAAGCTGGTTTAGGCCAACCCAAACTGGTTGCTCTGGGCAGAATGGCTTATTCTATCTCTACCATTCTATTTCCATAAATGGAACCATTCTACTGTGTGTTACTGGGCTTCAAAGCCTTGAATTTACCTTTAATTCTATTCAATGGCCTGTCAAAGCCTACTAATTCTGTTTTGTTCTTACATTGAGTCTCCTTTTTCTAAGTCTCTAACCTCCACTGAAGTCCCTATTTCAATATCCTGAACCCACTAAGAGGTGGGTCTCCACCTCCTAACTCACTTCAGATCTCCCTACCATTGTGACAGTCTAAAGTTCTCTTTTATCAATCTGTGAGTCTGACTACCAATGCAGAACAGACTTTGTGGATGGCCTTTCAATGTCTCGCATAAAGCCAGCTTTGTTTTTCTGTGTATACTATCTGCTTATTCATGTCTTCTGCTCTTGTACCCTCTTCCCAGGACTACACACTCATCTTCCAGGGGTATCCTCCTCTGTCTCTCCTGATGTGGCTTCTCTTTATGCCAAATCACACCAGTTTTACTCACGTCTTTCCTCTAGTTCTTCTATTCTACCTTACATTGCAGCATACTTTCTCTTAGCTTGCATGTTGATGATGAGCTGTGTTCTCACTGATATATGCCGAGGCAGGCTCTTACAGTGCCTTGTATATACTGGAGATAGTCAATCGTTAAAGAAAACCATATATTTTAATGAAAAAACAAGTTAGGAAAAGGATGAAGTCAGTCTTGATTCAAGTCTTTAAGAAGTAGTAGGCCTCCAGTTCACTCAAAATACTGTGACCGTTTTAAGGAGCAATCAACAAATAGTAAATTACTCAGTCAGTGAATGGAATTCAAAGCTACCACAGCCATGAGTCACACTGGCAGCTGGGGCAATCACCCTGCTTTTTGGTAGGGAACATTCAGCTGAAAAGACTCTGGAACAGCCACAAGAACGAACAAGTTAACCACAGGGTCAGGTGTCATGGCTGGGCCAACAGCCCAAAGTTTGGCTGCTAAGCTTTGCAGGTGGCTCATTTATGTGACTGACAGAGGCAAAGGAACAAGGCTGTTTGAACCCACATCCTAAAGCTGCACACAGCCAGCCACACGATCTAGTTGCAGATGGCTCTCCGGTACATTTTCTGGGAGAGTGAAGGAGGGCAGGTTTGGTGTGTTCCCAGCATGTTGTCAGTGAAAGTACAAAGATACAGGTAATATGCAAAGCTTGGGGAGGGATGGAGCCATGTGCACATTCTAGCTTATGAATTACTCCTTTTTAGAATTTCTGGTCATTTAAGTTGAATCCCAAATCCTTAAGAGGTTAATATTGCTAGACCCATTTTAACTATTAGGTAACTAAATTTGCAGAGGACATCTAACAGAAGATTTTAGATGTGAAACTAGAGGCAGATTCATTCATTCCTCCATCCCTCAAAAGTTAATTTACTAAGTTGGTAATACAGAACTTCTATGTGTCAGTCACCGGGCATAACTTAGCAAAGAAAACAGACATAGTCCTTTATTGCAGTTTCTAACCTCGACTCTTAACAAACTAAATAACCCAGTATTTAATTATAAAATTATAAATACTATAAATGCAATGGCAAACGAGCATTTACAGAATAAAAATGGGGCCTTAAAAATTAGATGTACTTTAGGTTCAATGGAGACCTAAAGGGCAGGAAGAACCAGCCATAAAAAGGAGAGAAAAGGCAGAGCAAAGAGAGGGGACAGACAGGCCACTGTAGCATTGGGCACTGTGGAGGAGTATAGTAACGAGGGAAGCTCACAAGCAGACCCTGCCTTCAGAGTCACAGCGTGAGGCCTACTGCAAGTCAAGAGCCTGGGTTTTAGTTGAAGTACAATAGGAAGGTACAGAATAGTTATATTTGGGTTTCTGAAAGACCACATTGGTTTCCATATAATAGGAAATGAGAGGCTTCTGCAGGATTCCAGGGGAGATGATGGTCATCTGGGCACAGTGTTGGCAACGGAGATGGAAGAAATGGTCCTTGGAGGTGATCTGAGCTATGTGTAGATGTAGGAATTAGAAGCCTGGAAAACAGACTGGACTTGATGGGTGAAGAGAGGGAAGAACAGAGGACACACTCCTGTGCACATCTTTATGTCCTGTTCATCATACAGTTTCCTTAGTATATTTCTAACACTGAACATTAGCTATACTTATATTTAAATGATGCAAAATTAAAAATATTTTTTTCTTTGCACACTGCTAAGCTCATTTACTCAGGTGCTCTGTCTAGAGAAATGCATTCAGTGTGATATGGTGGAAACACCAAACCATCTTGAGATGAACTACAGCTCTGCCCCATCTTTTGGGTTTATACAAGGAAGTCATACCTCTGAGCCTCAGACTTCACATACTGAGGTAAGAACTCCCACACTTCAGTTGCTAATTACATGGGATACCCAGATCAGGACTGCTTTTTATTTCCCCCTCTTGTTTCAAAACCAGATGAAATGCTTCTTTGCTCCAGAATAAAATTCACCTTATAGTATACCCTGGCATACAAGAGAAAGAGAGTAAGTAGTAGATTCTTTCCTCCGCCCGTTTCCTCCCTTTCAGCTTTAATACAACAGTAAGAATGCTATCAGTTCTCGGGGCATCTCAGAAGCTGAGCTCTCTGCAGTAGAGTGTAGTGCAGGACTGAGTTCTTTGTTTAGGTAACGGGGGCGCACTCTGGATTTGGAACCACAGATCTTGTTATGGGTCCTAATGAGCATTCTCACAAGACAACTGTAACTTTGCTCCACCCACCCCCACCTCCTGACTAGCAGGTGGCCAGATACAATATGGAAGATTCAGGAAAGTATGGATTTCAGACAAGCAAAAAGCACTTAAATATTCTTTTTCCCGTGAGGTATTTGGAGCTTACTTAGACTGAATGTTTTCCTTTGTTTATCTGAAATTCAAATTTCACTGAGCATCTTCTATTGGCAACCTTATAACTATGAAAACCTGTACTAGGAATAAATTGCTCCAATATATTTCCTTCACAGCCCTGTGAGATGCTAACTCTTCTCTATAATATATATATATATATATATGCATATGTATATATAATATAATCTCATGATGCTATAGTTCCACTCTTACTTTCTTTGCATATTTCACTTACCATTTCTGCTTTAAACATTATTGAATGAATGCCTAAAATCTACTGGGAGGCCCTAGATTAGGCATGAAATTTTACCTTGTGGTCATAGATTATGCTGGTGTGTGCTTGGAGAGTGGGTTCATCTTGTGCCTGATGTGTTGGCCTTTTAAAATAATAAATATCACTATACCATCAGGAACATGATTTGAGAGGTTTCTAACAGTGATGACTTAAATTTGTATCCCCATTAATGGAGAGATCTACTTAGAGTCCATACTATTAAACTTAGAATATTAAAAGACTACAGAGAAAAACTTGACCTCAGTTAATGGTCATTGTCTATCCAAAGTTCGGAGTTGCAAATTCTCCATTGAAAATCATAACAAGGGAAATAATTTTAAAGCATAGGTTACATTTTTTTTGTTGTTTCTAGCTGAGAAATCCTTTTCGTATATCCTCAAGTGTCTCAATTATTGGTGTCAGTAAGGAGGGGAAAAAGAAAAACAAAAGAATCAAAGGAAACACAGATGTAGTTAGTTGAATGACACACTCAGAAAGGTATTACTATTTGCCATTGTTGCAAAAGATGAGGAGCTTCTTTGCTCCAGAAGGAAAATCAACACAGTAAGGAAGTTCTGCTGTTAAAAAAGTATCCACTAAGCTAATAAAGTATTTAATAATGTGGCTGATTTTCATTCTCTTGCTAGCTCATTTTCTCACTGTGAACTGGAAGTAAAAAAATTTGGACTGGTAGCAATCTGGGGAGAAAACCCCAGAATTTTACACATCATACCTTCCATAATGCAATAATGTGCCTTCTAGATATTTTTCTCACCAAAGGCCCCTTATTTCATTGAAATAAAGGCACAAGCATTTTCTCAATTCCTAATAATCTAAGTAGCTATGAAAACAATAGTTGTCCCAATTTTAGAAAGAAGAGGATGTTTGCTTACTCTTCTTGACGTAAGTCATTGACGCTGCGGTCCAGTGAGATCATGTCACTTGCCACCATGTTAAATCCAAACTCTTTAATGCTGGCTTGAATTGCTTGTTTGAATTCTGGTCCCAAAACCAATGGCTTGGCTTCCTCTCCAGGGCCACCAACCACTCCATGAGGCTCAGGTTCTTTGGGTTCAAAGTTACCGAGGATGCCTGGGCGTAGCACAGGATCACGGTAGGTGAATGTCTGAGGCTTAAATGTGAGATACTGCCTCTGCATTATGTCTTTTTGGGCATTTCCTCCAGCATGGCGTTCCTGTTCATTTTTGGCCTTGTTTTTTCTTCTAATAGACTCTAAGTCCACTTCTACTCCTTCAACATGAGGCCATGGTACCACAGGTTTGAATCTGGCATCCCCAGGGGCCAATCCATTGCCTCCTCGGTTAGGCATAGGGTTATTGACATCTCTGTCTTCCTACACAAAAGGGAGGGGGGGATACACAATGAGTACAAGAAGGCAAAGCACTGCAGCAGAGTTCATGACACAAATTTTCATGTTGTTTTTAAGTTTTAAACCTGAGGCAAAACGAAACAGTTACAGCCATCATTAACCGAGATTTCCCATTAGAAGATACCTTTCAGGGTGAAAACATACCAAGCAGCAGGCTTTCTCCTCACCTTACTATTTCAAATACACAAATGAAACACATTTGTACTTCACGCTTTATAACCTAACTCTCTCTGTCAAAGTACTCTCAAGATTGTGTATTGTTAAGGGTGGGAGCAATGAGTTTCTAGGATGTTTGACTGAAACACTCAAAAACCTTGGGCAATAGTGGTAGTCACAGATATCTGTCTGATACATAATGAACATAACCTTTTGTCAACAATGCAGCCATATGGTGACAATAGTATTAAGTGGATGACATACGTTACTCAACAAGCTTCCTGCCCCGAATAGCACAGGAAAAGAGTAGTGTTGTGAACGCAGTAGTCCCAACTGATTAAACTCAGGAGTTCAGCTTAATTCAGAACTATGACAGAGGGAAAAACAAAACAAAATCTTTAATAATAACTATATCCAAGTCAGGTGTGTGTGCGTGCGTGCATGCGTGCGTGTGTGCGTGCATGTGTGTGTGTGTGTGTGTGTGTGTGTGTGTGTGTGTTTGGGTGCACAGCTAGCACTCTACCATTTGAGCTATGCCTCCAGTCTGGCTTTTGCAGGTGAATTGGAGACAAAAGTCTTGATGATCTATCTGCTTAGGCTGGCTTTGAACCACAAATTTGGGCTTTCAGATCTCAACCTCCTGAGTAGCTAGGATTCTAGATGTGTGCCACTGGTGCTTAGCTTCAGTGTGGGCTTTTCAGCCATACCCTATGCCTACCTAGTTTGCCTTATTTTAGAGATTGTACAGATAGAAAAACAGATCTTTAAGTAAAGGTATTCAACAAGAAATATTTTTCTACTTGGACAATCTTCATCCCTTCTGCAGGTCTCTCTATGCAGAAATCTTGAGTGCTTTTGCTTCTGAGGTACAATGCATTAAGCCAATATTATTCACAAAGCAGTGTTCCTCACTATTAGCATCTCCTCAGTGGATTTAAAAAATACTGAAGTCCGTGGCTCACTCTCAGATGCTATGATTTAATTGGACTTGGCATTTGGATTTTAAAAATCACCCCTGGTTCTAATAGGCATCTGAACCTGAGAACCATTAGCCTAAAGAGAGATCCATCTGCTATAATTAGACATGGGAGGGACAGAGTACACACAGCTGGGCAAGAAAGATGCCTGGCACACAGAGAACTGCAAAGCAGGCTGCTGGCATTCTGCTGTTTCAGTAAGAGGATAGGATTCTATAACCGAATCTTACAGGAACAACATCATGATGAGATGATTAGAATTGTCATCCATTTGATCAACATTTTTCTTACCATTAAAAGTGAAGTTTAAAACTTTGTTTTAAAAAATACGGAATAGGGCTGGGGGTGTGGCTCAAGTGGTAAATGTACCTGCCTAGCAAGTATGAGGCTGAGGTTCAAACCTCAGTATTTCCTTCCACTCCAAACAAGCATACAAAAGTAAAACTCTACATATATGTAGGTTGCTATCAACTGATTACAAATAAAAAGGAGGGCTGGGAAGGTGGCTCAGTGGTAGAGTGCTTGCCTTGCATGCATGAGGCCCTGGGTTCGATTCCTCAGCACCACAGAAGCAGAAAAAGTCAGAATTTGTGCTGTGGCTCAAGTGGTAGAGTGCTAGCCTTGAGCTGAAGTGCTGAGGGACAGCGCCGAGGCCCAGAGTTCAGGCCCCACGACCAACATTCTCTAATTTCCATTTTTCACATGAGCTCCAATGAATTGGTAAAACAAACAAGAACTGAGGGGAAGGAAATGGCTATGGAAGAATGGTTTTGAACAGATGTCAAAATCTGTAGCATAGCATCTCTACCCACTCAGTTATCCAATGTTCCATTGAAGGGAAATTGTATACAAGACTATAGGTATAATAGGTATAATATAGGTATATATAGGTACAAGAATAGGAATTACATGACTTCAAACTATCCAAATGGTGAAATATATATACTGGAGTTTAGGTTGGCCCGTGCTAATATAAAGATTGCAAATGTAAACTTTTCTCAAATTTGCCCACTTTTTTAAAGATTTATTTATTTTTTATTTTTTGTCAGTCGTTGGACCTGAACTCTGGGCCTGGGCGCTGTCGCTCAGCTCTTCAGCTCGAGGCTAGTGCTCTACCACTTGAGCCACAGTGCCTCTTCTGGCTTTTTCTGCTTCTGTGGTGCTGAGGAATCGAACCCAGGGCCTCATGCATGCAAGGCAAGCACTCTACCACTGAGCCACCTTCCCAGTTCCAAATTTACCCATTTAACAAGAGACATTTTAATAGATTCAAACCTCATGCTTATCTTCCTGTTAAAAGTAAGTGTTTTTTATCTCTTTTTTGACCTAAGGATCCCTCATCCAATCTTAAACTCGTGTGGTTCTTTGAGAAGTCTATCAGTTGTTCCTTTTCCAGTAGGGCTATTTTTCTCATTCTCTCTTGAACATGGTGACTGGTTTTATACAGCCCTTTCCCAAGCCACATCACAGTTCTGATCTCCAAAGTGTTTTCAGCCTATTTCCATTTATCTCCCTGGTACCTAAACTTAACATACCCTTTAAGCCTATTATTCACTCACACCACAGAACCGTTTTTGTTTACTATCCTCTCTCCTTCAGCAACCGGACAACTATCCACTCAACTTATGAAGTCAAAACCTGTGTTTCATCCTCAATTTCTAGTTTGGTTTTAATCTATGCTACTGACTCTAAACATGAAGTCCTGTTTGTTCTCACACTTGGGAGTTCCCGAATTTGACTGTTTCAGTTATCTTGACTTTCACTGCCTCTACTGAGCCACTCCCACTTCTAACAGCAATAATAGGAATGACTGTCAGCAAACGTCTCAATGCTCTACACGCATTAGCTTACTTAATTACCTAAGTCAGATGCTATGGTTATCCTCCACATAGAAAATTGGAAAATTACTCATAAACAGAATCAGTGGAGTCAATAATCTAAACACACACAGGCTGGCTCAGGCCCTCTGCACTTACCCAGTCTAACACATGCATCTATTGACTTCACTGTTTTTCCTATACGAGAGCTATGGGGACTGCTAACATTCAAACATGAACCATTAATTCTCCCTGCTTACAACACTCCAACAGATGCCCTCTGACCTCAGCAGAGTTTATATTCCTTAACAAGCTGACTTTCTACCCTCCAGCATTTAAGGAATGTCCCCATCATTCCTCAAGAGAACAGGAGTTACTTTTTCAGAAAGGATCAAGAACTAAACATTTTTGGCTTTAAAACCACAAGTTCTCTGTTGCAATTATTCAAGTTTGCCTCTGTAGTGTGAAAGCAGCCGGACAATACAATAATGAGTGGTAAAACTTCATATTCGTGGTAAAACTTTATATTCAAGCACATGTCATAAACTAGATAAAGGTCCCCAACCCCTGAACTAGACTGTATGTTCCGGGAAATGGTCAGAGTTATCTCTATGCACCATACATTCTCCATGCTTATCCCAACATATAACTACTCAGTAAACATTTACTGAATAAATGAGTGACTCCTAAGTCTTCTGCTTTGCTAGTAAGAGAGCTCCCTCTGAAAAGAAAAGGGAAACATACAGAATGGAGAAAATGAAGCGGGCAAGTCATGATTAGAACAAACAGACCCTTACTGGACATACATTATGAATTGTCCAGAGACATAACATTCTCTGCTCGGTGATCATGGTACTCTAATGATATACAGAGCACCAGAAAAATGGAATTTGCTCACTTCTTAGAGCTTGTATGCCATTAACTCTGAAGTCAGAAAGAACAAAGTACTGGAATTGTCTGTCTACCCCTGAGTCAATTAAGAATAATCATGTCAAATCTTAATGTTATATGCCTCAAAGAATAGCTATAAAGCCATGTCATACTCAACTCCCTTGAGAAGGAAAACTAAACACTCCCTTGTGAGAGTGAATGAGATTCTGTGACTCACAAGTACTATGATATTTTCATCATAAGTAACAGCTCATTTACTGTACAGAAAAATCATTCACTATTGAGTAGAAATAGAAAAGAGAATAGAAGATAATTTCTTTTTAAGACTGCTATATCTATAACAATCTTATGTGCCAAGGGATCATAATCACACAGTCCTATGAACTACAAACAGGGTCAGACTGGTCATTAGCCATCTTACAACTCCCAACCCTCGACCTCCAAATCCTTCTCATGAATGCCATTTTTTCAAAGCGGTCATGCCTGAGTAGAAATGATCTAAGTCCAAAAGAAGCTTTTCAAATGGTTTTTAGAACAAAATGATAGTACCTACAAGTTTGTTTGGGTTAGAAACCATAGATGTATCTGGAAAGACTTCAAATCATGCATATACTTATGATTTCTTGGTAGATTGCCACTTATCAAGAAAGTGGCAGAAATGGCCACTATTTGGTTATCAGTCTTTAGAACTACAGAATTTATAAGTATAATAAGATAAATATTCTATGATTAAAAATTTCCTTGGGGGGAGGGGACAAAACCCCACACTTAATTAGAAAAAAAAAATACCAGCATCCTTTCTCTGTGTGTACTTACTCGCCCAGAAGCAGAAGAAACAGGGACAAAAGGGAAAGGAGGGAGATTGTCAAAGTAGACATCACAGGAAATAGGGGTGCCTGCGGGCAGGGGTGGGGGCTGCTCAGATTCTCACAGTGGCAGGATGTAGCAGTGTAAGGTGCTCAGGCTGCAGTCCTTTTCTCTCTGCTTATCGACAGCTGGATTTTAAAGTAATCCATCTGACATTTTGTGCTGACCGGAGACACGAAGTCTTGCTCTTTTCTGCCTGCTGAGATTCGACTGCAGGTGAGCCGTGAGGCTTGCAGGGAGGCAAGCAGAGGTCAAG